GAGAGGGGCAGGGCGCGAGGGCGTTTTCATACATATAGTGCTAGGCTCTTTGTCGTCCGCTAGCTGATGGCAAAGAGCACAGCTAACGGATGTTAGAACGACTACTTTCTTTGCCGTCTGCTAGCGGACGGCAAAGTTTCTTTGCCATCAGTTGGCGGGCGGCAAAGAAAAGTGGTTGTTAGCTACCCCTCACTATCGGCTCACCCTGCCTCTCGAACGGCAAAGGTTCTATGTCGTCAGCTAGCTGACGGTAAAGATGGAGCTGACGGAAAACACTTTCTTTGTTGTTAGCTGCTTTTTTGCCATCAGGTTTCTTCAAGCTGATGGCAAAAAGGGTCAGCTAGGTGACGGCAAAGAAACGGCTGGCGAGAAAGTTCCTGAATCCAGTAATGGGCTAGGGTTGTAGTGCTGTCTTCGACTTAAATAGATGGGCTTGCTTCCTCGAGCAGCACGCCGGAGCGGCGCCACGCAATGCCATGAATGCATCCGCACCGAGAAACGAAGGAGACGTTCGTCGGACCCTCGATCTCTGCGTGTGACTGCATTGGCCCTTGCAGTCAGCCCGACATGACGGTGGTGCCTGAGTGCGACTGTGCCTCGTTATATCCGTCCCACGTATAGGCCGGATATGAGAAATGTCGGTCAGACCGGTCATTTGGTGTGCGAAGAGGTCGGTGGGTATGGGTCCGGTTGTAGATGCTCTGAGATGATCATCGGATACCGGTCCAGACGGAGGCTCTTGTCACAGTGACTGGCGAGTAAAACAATGTCACGTAGTACCACCGGCGGCCGTCTCCATGGGAACCAGCTCGAAAGCGCAGGCAGCGCACGGCAAAGCAACGACGAGGCAGTGCAACGCGACGCGATGCACCACATCCATCGTTTCCGTGTGTCACAGCGAAAGGCGCAAGAATCCAAAGCACACATTCCCACCAGTGACACCGCTCCGTGGCAGTGCACCACTACCCAGGCACCCATGCTCCCCGCCACCCTCCCCGTCTCTTCTTCCTGCGTTCACAGCGAGCCCGTTCACGAGCGTTCACTCCTCTCTCTCACTGACTCACTCCCCTCTCTCTTCTTCCCCAATCCCCACACGCTAGCGTGAGCTCAGCCCAGCTCCCTTCAGTCTCGCCGAGCTTGCGTTGCGTGGGTGATGGCGTGGTAGGTGGTAGGTGGCGAGCGAGCGAGCGGGCGGGGCTTGTCGTCTCGTCGACCCAGGGCGTGCGCCGGCCGTTTGTTTGCACGCGCGATGCCAATGCCAATGCCCGCGCGGCGGCGGCGGCTGCTCGTGCTCGTGCTCCTGCACCTCCTCTTCCTCCTCCCTTCTTCTGCCTCCGCCTCCCTCCATCGCCGGCGCGACGGCAGCCATCACAAGGGGTATGGCGGGAGGAGGGCGCTGCACGAGCCGCTCTTCCCTCTCGAGAGCGCGCCGGCGCTGCCGCCGCCGCCCCCCGCGCCCTTCTTCCCGTTCCTGCCCGACGCGGCGCCCCCGCAGCCGCCGACGGTGGCCAACCCCGCGCCAGCCGCCGTCGGCGTCGGCGATGTGGGCGCCGGCGGCGACCCGGCGTCCTCCTCGCTGCCGAACCCCACGGCGCCGGCCAACATGTCCTCCCTGGCTCTGCCGGTCCCCCGCAGCGCGCCGGCGCCGCTCCGCGCGTTCCTCTCCTCCCACCGCCTGCTCACCGTCCTCCTCCTCGTCGCGGCCGCGGCCTCCGCCGTGCTGGCCGCCGCGCTCGTCTACCTCCTCGCCCGCCGCCGCCGCGGCCGGCCCGAGCCGGAACCCGAAGCTTATAAGAAGCCCGCCTTGCCTAAGCCTTCGCCGGCCAAGCCCGCGCTCCACGATGACGACCAGCACCCCCGGGGCTCCACCGCCACCATCTCCAGCACCAGCTCACCGGAGCTCAGGCCCATGCCGCCCCTGCCTCGCCAGTTCCAACCGCAGCCAGGGATGAGCCCGCTGTCAAGCCCTGTCCATCAGGACAGAATAGGGGACAGCCGGGCGCCGCCGGCGGGTGTTCCACCGCCCGCGCCGCCCCCACCACCTCCTCCGCCAATGCCACCGAGCAAAGGCAACGGGAGCGCGCAAGCGGCACCTGCACCTCCAACGCCTCCCCCTCTGCTGCCACGGGCAGGCAACGGCAGCGGCTGGCTGCCTCGGCGGCTCTCCGAGCGCCCCGCGCCCACGGTGATCCGGGCCTCGGCGGGGGCAGTCCACCCCGAGGAGTCGCCGCAGTCGGAGGAGAAGGACGTGGACGCCGGCGCGGCTGCTCTACCAAAACTGAAGCCGCTGCACTGGGACAAGTTCCGCGCGAGCTCCGGCCGGCCGACGGTGTGGGACCAGCTCAAGGCAAGCTCATTCCGGTGAGCCCTCTCCACTGCCTCTGGAGTATACTTCATTTATCATACTCTGCATCATAGCTGCTGCCATGTACTTACAGGATTCGTTTCGTTCTGAAACTGACTATGTCCATTTGTGCCACTGCCGTGTACCGAAACAGAGTGAACGAGGAGATGATCGAGACATTGTTCGTCTCCAACTCGACGAGGAGGATGCCCAAGAACGGATTCAAGGAGGCAAACGGGGCACCCTTCAACCAGGAGAACAAGGTGCTCGACGCGAAGAAATCGCAGAACATCGCGATCATGCTGCGGGCGCTCGACGCCACCAAGGAAGAAGTGTGCAAGGCCCTGCTTGATGGTGAGATGAGATGACGCCATACCCACACACATTTCATTTTATGAACCTGCATTCAGAGAATGCTTTCTCCGATCACCCGGCTCCATGAACATTTTGCTTGTGTTGCCATTTCTTGCAAGTGCAGGCCAGGCAGAGAGCCTTGGGACTGAGCTGCTGGAGATGCTGCTGAAGATGGCCCCTACCAGAGAAGAAGAGCTCAAGCTCAGAGAGTACAGGGAGGATGCTCAGTCGAAGCTCGGCCCCGCCGAGAGCTTCCTCAAGGCGGTGCTCGGGATACCGTTCGCCTTCAAGAGAGCGGAGGCGATGCTCTACATCGCCAACTTCGATTTGGAGGTCGATTACCTCAAGACCGCCTTCAGAACCCTCGAGGTACTAATCATGTCCTAACTTGTACTGTAAACAGTTTTAGATGACAAAAGGGGACCGGCGTGCCATGACAGTGTCTCTGAATCGAGTAAAAGGACTCTTGTTTCTGTAAAGGTGTGTTTGGAGATCTAAAGCGCCGTATGTGCCATGTTCCTATGATCATTGGCCGCTTTTGTGATCTTTACCATTTACTGTCATCATGTAGGCATCCTTGGGCACAATCATGTACTATTGTTCAAAATCTCAAATTATTGATTCAGGTGTTCTTTGCAGCATATAGTGGCAAATAATCACTTACCAACTCACCATCCATTACCATTTCAGGCAGCGTGTGAAGAACTCAGGGGCAGCAGGCTGTTCCACAAGATCTTGGATGCCGTCCTGAAGACCGGTAACCGGATGAACACCGGCACGAACCGAGGTAACGCGCACGCCTTCAAGCTCGACTCGCTCCTCAAGTTGGTCGATATAAAGGGCACAGATGGCAAGACAACGCTCCTGCACTTTGTCATCGAGGAGATCACCAAGTCTGAGGGTGCCAACATTGTAGTCACGAGCCCAAAGAAAGACAAGGTGAGCGCCGTTGCAGATGATTTCCAGTGCAAGAAGGTTGGCCTGAAGATCGTGGCTAGCCTCGGCGGTGAGCTCGGCAACGTCAAGAAGGCGGCAGGAATGGACTCCGACTCGCTGGCCAGTTGCGTCTCGAAGCTCTCAGCCGGCGTAAGCAAGATCAGCGATGTTTTGCAGCTGAACCAGCAGCTCAGTTCGGACGAGCGCTGCAAGAGGTTTCGCGCCTCCATCGGCGAGTTCCTGCAGAAGGCCGAAGCGGAGATCACAGCGGTGCAGGCTCAGGAGGGGCTCGCCCTCTCCCTCGTTAGGGAGACGACCGAGTTCTTCCACGGCAACTCTGCCAAGGAGGAAGGCCACCCACTGAGGATCTTCATGGTGGTCCGCGACTTCCTCGCCGTTCTGGACCGCGTCTGCAAGGACGTCAGCAGGATGAATGAACGGACGGCGCCAGGGGGCTTCAGCACGTCACGCCGGGTGGAGACCGCGGCCGTTCCTCCACGGTTCAACGCCGCGCCGCAGTCCAGCAGCTCCGAGGAGGAGAGCTCCTCGTCATCGTCGTAGTCGCCGCCAGTAGCCATGATACCGAATGTCTCAGCTTGGAACCTGCATCTTAGCTACTGTCTAGAGGAGCAGGCAATGCAGAGGGCCCAACCTATAATTATCACTAGTATTTTGTAACTTGAGCAGATAAGTGTAGATCACCTATAATTATCGTAGTAGTACATGATTCCGCATGCTAAAGCATCATCCAGCAGCCAATGGCCTACCAACAAAGGTGAAAGTGGCATCTGTACATGATGATTCAGACATGCTAAGAATGAATCACTGGCACTAGTAGATCAAATCTTTTGGCAAATTGACCGTTCTGAATCTCATGATAAAAGTCCAGTCTAAAAGAACCATCACATGATCAAAGTAGAAGTGGCCAGTAGCCACATTTATATTTACTCACTGCAGCTACAACCTTTCAGGATCTGCTAGGATTCGTCTTTTGCTCCCCATGCTGACAAGAGAATTATCCCTGCATTCTTTCACTCTGACCTGAAGGCAGTGACCTAATGGCCTCTATCTTTGTTTACATGCTGAAACAAAAAAAAAGCAATTATACATATATAATCAATGGACAGTGCCCTCACAAAAGGCACATTTTTTGGGTCTCGAGGCTGGGGTTATTATATATCCCACTACTATACTCCAAATAATTTCCCAAAAGAAACGCCAAAAAGCTACACTTTCGCCGGTCTTCTGCCAGCATGCTGCTTATCTGCTGCTGATGTTCAAATCATGGGGTACATCTCCCACTAGTTAACATGGCCAGTAAAAAGTTGCTAAAATTATGGCTGGAACCAGTGACTCCGCCGAAGGATCAATCGAACAAACCCTCGGCATCCATGCGGTTTAATATACGGCGTGCCTCTTCTTCGGTTGAGGGAACAACGTTGCGGATGTTCACTCCATTCTTCAGAGCGTCGCTGCCGACTGAGAAGGTGAAGTGGAATGTGTTGGAGATCTGTTTGTTGGACAACACTATCAGCAATGTGGTATGGTGAATGGAAGCATTCAACGAGATACAAAGACTAGAGTATAGCTGCTGCAGTTAAAACAGTTTGTCCTGGGCAGCACTGTGAGATTACCTCGCTTTTTCGGAGCTCGGGCCTTGTCACATGAGCGACGACTTCGACATTTACCAGGGGCTGCCATTTATTCTCAAGCTGGGTAAACAAGACACATGATTTGAATCGAAGAAAGTCTCCAACATCCACCTGTGCAATCACAATTTGACATTGTTATTCCTCACATTATGGGAAAACCAATTTATAGTTTCTGAAACAGATTTCACAACTGCTACCATGATCCAGTCATACATAACATCTTCAGTGATAACTTGAGGTAATCACCAAGAAGCAACCATGGAACAGTACTTCTTAAATTAGAAATGCTGACTTGATTGTCTGAAGATACGAGCTTAATTACTCAGAGATGCACCCAAAAAAATAGCCTAGTTACTTACCGGCTTTAAGAAGTCGACATGGTCGACCTCAAGAAAACACGGTCTCTGTCCAACAAAGGCATAGGCAGTCGAGAAAGCAAGCTCAAATGCTCGGTGCATCAAGAAACCTCCAAATATCCGTCCATACAAGTTTCGCTGTTGAGGTTGGCAGATCATAGAGGTCTCCAGGCGAGTATCCTTCATCAATATGCTATCCCTATCAGCCAAAGCAGGAAAATCAGAGAAAACACGACCCTCTGCCAGTAAAGCCTTCAGCCTCTCAGCCTCAGCACCAAGCTTATGCACCCCCTTTTCAAGCACTCCCTTCTGTTCTTCTCTTTTCCTTCTTTTCACCTTTTCCAGTGCTTCTGTCTCTGCATATAACTGCTTCTCTCTCTCGGTTTCTGGTGAAAGGCGGTTCACTGGAGCGGATTTTCCGGTCACCGAGTCTCGTGCAACAAATGTGAAGTTAGCCGTCAATGCAATTGGGTCTGACTGCACATCACCGTCTGTTGCAAGTTGTGAAATGTCAGACAAGAGAGTAGAAAGATCTATCATACATGACAGTTGTTCAAAATCAAATAAATAAAGAGATCGATAATTTCTTTAGCAACAATACCTTGATCAACCTGAGTCACTTCAATCTGTATATCAATCGAAGAGCGACCAACGTAAGTAACAGCCCCTGTAATCTTTACTTCAGTGTCCAGACGAAGTGGCTTCATTAAGACCATCTTATCCACAGAAGCAGTAACTAACAAAAGGGGTCTTGTTGTGCTATCGTCATCAGAACAGTGCTGCGTGTCACATAAGATTTGTCAACAAAGATTCCGGCTGGATGTTAAAAATACCATAAAATGAACAGATATCGGTTATCTGTCGTACATAAGTATCATTGTTATAGTATATACTCCCTCCGTCCGGAAATACTTGTCAGAGAAATGGATGTATCTAGATGTATTTTAGTTCTAGATAGATCCATTTTTATCCATTTCTCCGACAAGTATTTTCGAACGGAGGGAGTATGTTTAACTGACAGCCTTATTAGAGTTATCTGTCATCCATAGGTAATCAGGTATCATTGCATAGTATATGTTTCCCTGCCGTTAATTTCCTGCTGAGGCAACCCCTTTGCCGTTCCTCCGCAAGCTTTACTTTCCAAATAAGTTGTATCAGACATATTCGGCTTCGTTGTTATGCAATGGAGCCGGGGCTGGAGCACTTTCCCTATTAAAATTGTATCGTATATGTTGAACTGACAGCCTGGAAAGAATGCTTATGCCGCTGTTCAAAAGAAAAGGAGAAAGCGATCTTTAAAAAAAAGGAACAGAAAGCTACTAAAGGCCTTACTTATTTAACAGTATGTACCATTGAGCTAGTTAAAAGGTGTGCCCGCAATGCAACCTCTGCTGCTTCCATTACCAAACTGACGCAATCCTGATCCAGCATGGTTAATTACTCGTTCGGGTTTCAAACGTGTGACACAGTGATATTTTCTGGATGTAGTGAGTAGTGAATACATTCGGATGAATCATGCATCTCAGTTGTTAATATCTGAACCTTTATGAGAGGAATCAGATTCATGAAATCCGAACATTTCCATGAGCACATAGAAACAACAGATACCCCAAATCCTGGCGTCTACTTAGTATACTTACGTATAATATACAGCCAGTTCCAGTTCAGTTGTCAAGCCAACTAATTGTAAGTTGTGACAATGAGTGAACAAGCTATATCATTACAAAGCACAACTTCGTCATTTCTATGGGCACCTAAAATATCTGACCAACACGACTGCAAAATACTACAGATGATCTCAAAAGCAAGGTGGTCGAGTGTGCGTGGCGTCAATCCCATGCCAAGGAGAAGGTAAAAACAGTTGGAAAATGTTTTGTATATCTGGTATAGTTGCAATATTATGATGGCAATGGAATACCCTGTTTTAAATGGAAGGTTGTTCTGCAATATGGGTGTTGTTCACTTTCTGCTAGAGTTAGCTGCGAAATGGTTAATCTTGCAATAGATGATCATGCTTTTTTTCTTGCTTTCTGACAAAGCTAGATCATGATGCAACCTTTCCTCTAAAATAAAAGGGATTTACATTTACTCTCGCATTCACATCGAAACGTCCCCAATGCCTGAAGTTCTATGAAACAGGACAGATTCTGAAACATCTAGGGGATTTTGTTTCGACCGGTATTCCTAATTTGATGAGAAATGAGTAGCAAACAGAGGGAGGATCGCGATTACAATACCTTGACGGCGATGGTGCCGGCGAGGGCGTCGAGGTCCTCGAGCAGCTTGCCGACGCGCACCTCGTTCCAGGGGTCGCGGTACTGCTCGCGGAGGATGTCGTCGGAGGCGAACTTGTAGACGATGGAGGTCCGGCTCTGCGCGGGCCTCTTGGTGAGCAGCTCCGTCTGCGGGCCGACGTCGGCGTTGCCCCCGGCGTCCATCTTGCGCTCGAAGATGCTGGACCGCGCCTCCCACAGCGCGTTGGTGACCGGCGAGTGGTACATCCCGGGCCACAGGCTGAGCGGCTTCCGCGCCGACCCGCCCGCGTCGATCGCCGCGCCCCCGCCGCGGCCGCCCCCTCCGCCGCGGAGGTCGGAGAACACCTTGATCGGGGAGTCCATGGGCGCCGGCGCCGGCTCCTGGCCCGACGGATCCCCTCCGCCCGACGACGACGACGACGACGCGGCTCTCGATTCGACACGGGGGAGGCGGTGCGCGGACGGTTCGAGGAGGGGCGGGGAGGAGGTGGCGCGGAGGCGGAGGGTTCTGGAGAGCAGCGACGTCGCTGTCGAGGATCTCATGGCCATGGCGATCCCGAGGCGGCTCCGGCCATGTGGGAGGATGACGGGGGTTTGATGGCGAGTGGGTGCGGTGGAAAGTAGGACGGACACGCCTAAAGCGGAGCGAGAGGTCGTCGGATCTATCCTGGCCGTCCGATCTAGAGTGCTGTGTGGACTAACTGCGGAGAACCGTTGGATCTCCCACGTTTAGCTGTGGCGGGCGATCCAGAAAGCACCGGTGCCTTTCATGGTGGAATAATTTATATATATAGTCGAATCCGGTGAAATATGAGTTCTCTCTTGGAAGATCCAACAGATCGAGGAAATTCAAATAGCAACATGAACAACCAACTCTTTCATTTTGTTCCCCAAAAAGACTCCTTTTTTGTGTGAATTTTTTGCACCAACTCTTGGGCAACCATGGAAAAGATTGACCATGTTTTTTGCACCAACTCTTGGGAAGACATGTACCCTAACAACCTCCTTACGGCGCTGAGCACGACAGTTTCCGATCATTGCCCCATGTTGCTGAACCTTGATGCGGAGTTGAGCATGGGACGGAGGTTCAAGTTCGAGTCTTTTTGGACGAAGGCAGACGGATTCTTTGACACGGTCAGGGACGCTTGGGCATCGATCCCACAAGGTGGAAACCCGTACGATGTGCTCGATCAAAAACTTAGGGCCACGGCCAAGGCTCTAAAGAAGTGGAGTGACCGGTGGGTGGGCAACATCAAGATGCAGATTGCAATAGCCCTAGAAGTCATTTTTCGCCTAGACACGGCCATGGATGCAAGGAAGCTTTCTTCTCCGGAGCGGGAGTTGCGCAAAATTCTAAAAAGGAAGCTGCTTGGGCTATCCTCCCTTGAGCGCACAATTGCACGGCTGCGTTCCCGTCTCCTCTTCCTTCATGAGGGGGACGCGAACACCAAGTTTTTTCATAGCCATGCCCGTCACCGCCAACGGCGCAACTTGATCACCGCTCTCAAGGAAGGGGAGGCTATCGCCTCGGGCCAGGATGAGCTTTCCTGCTTGGTGGATGGCTTCTACGCCCGCTTGTTGGGGGCGGCACCACTACGGGCACAGACTCTTAACCTGGAAGCCCTGAACCTGCCGCATAGAGACCTGGCACACCTCGAGGTGCCTTTTACGGTGGATGAGATTGAGCTGGTAGTCAAGTCCATGCCCATGGACAAGGCTCCGGGACCGGACGGCTTCACTGGAAGATTCTATGCATCTTGCTGGCCCATAATCAAGGATGACATCATGCGCGCCATGGACCTCTTCCACCAAGGTGACATGCGCGGGCTGCCGGCGATCAACAAAGCTATTGTTACTCTCCTCCCCAAAATCGATGGGGCGGAGGACATCAAGGACTACCGGCAGGTCAGCCTCATGCATGGGGCTGTGAAGATTTTTGACAAAGCAATGACAGTTAGGTTGTCGCTAGAGCTGCCTGAGTTGGTGGGCATCCACCAGAGTGCCTTCATCAAAGGTCGGTCCATCCACGACAATTTCATGTTGGTCCAATGCATGGCGCGTCGATTGCATGCCCTCCGAGAACCCACGGTGATGCTCAAGCTGGATATCACGAAAGCATTCGGCACGATTCAATGGCCTTTTCTTCTCGAGGTGCTGCGGGCAATGGGCTTTGGTGCGAGGTGGATTGAGTGGGTTTGTGGACTTTTGGACACCTCTTCGACACAGATCATGGTAAACGGACACCCCGGCAGGCCAATCTTCAATGCCAGGGGCATGCGACAGGGCGCGCCCCTCTTGCCAATACTCTTCATCCTAGCTATGGAGCCGCTGCACAAGATGTTCCAGATGGCCACATCTTGTGCCATCATGTCTCCGCTGGCCCGGATTGGGCTGCAGCAGCGACTCTCGCTATTTGCTGACGATGTGATGCTCTTTGTCAAACCGAAAGACGCTGACCTGCGGGCAAGTGATATGATCCTTCACAGCTTTGGAGAGGCTTCGGGCCTTATGGTGAACCTCTCCAAAAGCATGGCATTGCTCATACGATGCACTACAACTGACATGGAACGAGTGGAGCAAATCCTGGGATGCCCGACGGGTGTATATCCTTGCAAATACCCCGGCCTACCGCTTACAATCCGGATACAAACGTCGGCTCAGCTGATGGGGCTCGTGGATTGTCTTGCGCGCAAACTGCCAACTTGGAGGGCCACCTCCATGCCGAAGAGTGGCCGCCTTCTGCTGATCAAATCGGTCCTCTGTGCAACTCCGATCCACGCAATGATGGCGCTTGACATTCCTCAGAAGGTGCTCAAAGCCATGAGAAAAATTTGCAGGGGCTTCCTCTGGTGCGCTCGCACGAGCGCCAATGGTGGGCAGTGCAGAGTTTCCTGGGAGGCCGTTTGCGCGCCCAAGTGGGCGGGCGGCTTGGGCCTTCCCAACCTCCGGTGGCTGAACATAGCTATTCAAGCCCGATGGCTCTGGCTCCAGCACACAGATCAGTCCAGACCATGGGCTGAATTCCAAATTACAGGTCCTGTGGAATTGGGGCAACTCTTCAGGGCAGCCACAAAAACTATGCTGGGCGATGGCAAGTGCTCCCGCTTCTGGGAAGATCGGTGGCTCGATGGCTTTACGGTCCAAGACCTTGCCCCATCCATATATGCAATTGTCGCTCCCAGTGCGCGGGGTTCTCGGACGGTCCATCGGGCGGTTTCAACGGGGGACTGGGCTTTAGACATCGACCCTGACCTCTCCAGCGAGCAGTTGAATGAATACATGAGCCTTTGGGACCGGGTAAGTAACATGGCGCTCAGACCGGCAGAACCGGACCGCATGACCTGGAGTTGGGAGGCCAATGTGGACTACTCCACTAAATCTGCTTACGAGGCCCGGTTTGTGGGGCGGGAAGTAGAGCCGACGGCAGAATTCACGTGGAAATCAAAGGCCCCGCTCCGTTGCCGTTTCTTTCTCTGGCTGGCGATGCACAACAGGTGCTGGACCTCGGACAGACTCGCGAGGCGAGGCTTGGACCACCAAGAGGTGTGCCCCTTCTGTGACCAGCATGAAGAGACCATCGATCATCTCTTTTTGGGTTGTGTCTTCGTGAGGGATGTTTGGCATGTCCTTTGTGGAGCTCTCGGTAGGCCACAGTGGACGCCGAGCCCGGACTCGAGGCTGCGGGACTGGGACGCCGTCACAGCTACTCTTGGGCCAGCGACGAAGGACACACGTGCATTGCTACTGCTAGTGTTGTGGGAAATTTGGAAGCACCGAAACGCGATCATCTTCGATGGCGCATCCCTCTCCTTGAAGACGCTCGTGAGTAGAATTGACACCGAAGGACGCGCATGGAAGCAAGCCGGCATCTTCAAAGGCAGCGTAGAACCTCTTCTGGAAGGTTTAGTTAGGTGGGCTGAGGGGAGAAGTTAGGCTTTGGTAGTACATGGTTAAGCCGGCGGTGTTGGTCCGCATGTAACATTGCAACATGTGAATGCCAACGTGGACGGGCTCTTGTCCCCACCCTCTTCCTTTAATATATAGTACGCACACTCGTGCGTATTCGAGAAAAAAAATTGTGAATTTTTTAAAAATGCTTTATTTGTTGTTTGAATGTCTTGTATCCTAATACTTATTTTGTATTGAAATGCTTAATTCATGCTATGTGCTTTATATTATAATAAAGTTGGGTGTTTCCTGCATCTTCGTTCTAAAAATTTGAACAATTAAATGTTTGACACAACTTCAAAATGTAAAGTGTGATACCACCTCCTCAAAACCTGCAGATGGAAAAGATGAAAATTGAGCGAAATTGTATAAAAAAAAGATATCATGTCAATCTAAAACAATTTATAGAAATGATTGACCCGAAACCACACATTCATATTAGAAGCTAATCTGAAGGCTTAAAATAGTTTTATGCTTATAAACCAAGATCGATAAAAATACAAAATAGAAGCAAATACTGTGAAAGTGCTCTTTTGATCTCAAGCTCACATGCTTCCCAATGACAGTAAAATCCTTCGTGCTTTTTTGGATTTTACTGTTCATCAGGGAGCATGTGAGCTCAGGTTCAAATACTCCGTGTCCCAAATATTGTTATTAAACTACGTGTTGATCTCCATGATCTTGCATAACATGTGCACACAACCTTAATCACACAACGATGCACAAGAGAAAAGGAGGTGGATAGATAACTGTTTCATCAACAGGAGACTCGGCTACATCTACACGCTGATAGCCTGATACCAACTAAAATGAGTGTTCAAAGAAAGTAACCTGAATAATAAGAAGTTGAAGATCATCAACGTCATCTTGCCACGGCGTTTAGGTTTTAGTGTTGCCTTGTTATCTTTTTATCTTTATACGGTGGTGGCTTGGTCCCTCTTCTCTATTAAAAAAAATTGTATGCCTTATTTGTTTGATATTTCATTTTATGGTATTTGTAGTTCCCGTAAGAATATCTTAGTTCCGTACGCACATCACATGTGGCATTGGCCTTGCCTCATCCCTATCACGTCGCCTAACCGTTGTACATGTTGGGGAACGTAGTAATTTTAAAAAATTTCCTACGCACACGCAAGATCATGGTGATGCATAGCAACGAGAGGGAAGAGTGTTGTCCACGTACCCTCGTAGACCGAAAGCGGAAGCGTTAGCACAACGCGGTTGATGTAGTAGTACGTCTTCACGATCTGACCGATCAAGTACCGAACGTACGACACCTCCGAGTTCAGCACACGTTCAGCCCGATGACGTCCCTCGAACACGTTCAACACAAGGGGGGAGAGGCGGCCGACCAGGAGCGGCGCGCCAGGAGGAGTCCTACTCCCGCCGGGAGTAGGACTCCTTCCCTTTTCCTTGTTGGATTAGGAGAGGAGAGGGAAGGAGAGAGAGGGGGAAAAGAAAGGGGGGAGGCGCCGCCCCCCTAACCCCTGGAACCATTCCGGTGTCCGAATATAGTCATCCAATATATCAATCTTCATGTCTCGACCATTTTGAGACTCCTCGCTATGTCCGTGATCACATCCGGGACTCCGAACAATCTT